AAAAAAAAAAACAAAAAACAAAAAAACAAAAAAACAATTGTTATTGTGTGTGTGAGCAGACTCACAGGCATATGATGTATGTGGGCGGGCACATGTGCCAGCGAGCACAGCTGGAGGCCAATGAGAACTCTGTGGAGCTGGCTCCCTTCTCCCACCTTTACGTGGGTCCTGGGAAGTGAACTCAGGCTGCCAGGCTTCTGTTGTAGGTTCTCTACCCCTTGAGCCATCCAACCAATTTAAAAATTTTATTTAAAAAGATTGTAATTTGGTGTGTGTGTGTGTGTGTGTGTGTGTGTGTGTGTGTTTTGACAGCCTTGCTATATTGCTCGGGCTGGTCTTGAACTTACTAAGTAGTCCTGGTTGTTTACAGTGAAGATTGCCCTGCCTCAGTCTCTAGAGTGTTGGAATTACAGGCATGTACCACCACACCTGGCTTTATATTGTAATTTAATAAAATCGTAAGTGATCTGTTGCGATTCTTGCCCATCTCAGGGTTTGCTCTGAAAGTGTATGACCCTGCTGAAACAGACAAAACTGGAAACTGGACTAGAGAATGGCCAATACCTACGTCACTGCATCTGATGGGTGTTGTTTTGCTGAGCCCACGCAGTATTACGGTATGTAATACAAAACTGCAGTACAACTGTCAATAAAATTGTTTTCTGTGTGGCTGGAGAGACGGCACAGCAGCTATGCTAAGCAGAGAAGCACTTAGACCAGGGTTTGATTCCCAACATCCATACGCCGTCTCACAACCATCTGTCCCAGTTCCAGAGACTCCAATTCCCTTTTCTGGCCTCCTGAGGAACCAGGTACACAAGAAGTGCACAGACATAAATGAATGCAAAATTCTCTCACACACAAAATAAGTAAACCCAGAAACATGTATTCAATTAAGAAAATTAACTTGCAAAAATTTGAAGTTAGTTTTAAGGAGAAACAGAGGCAAGCTTTTGTGTTAAATTGTGTATAAGACTTACAGTAGTCACGCTTGATAAATTGTTTTAAAAGATTTATTTGTGTTGTTTTTAATTGTGTGTGTGTGTGTGTGGTTATTTGCATGTGAGTGCAGGAGCCAGAGGCATTGGATCTGCTTGGAACTGGAGTTACAGTGTTTTTGAGCTGCCATGTGGGTGCTGGGAACTGAATCCCAGGTCCTATGTAAGAGCAGAACCCATTCTTAAGGGCTCAACAGCCTCTCCAGTCCTTGAAAAAATTGTAAAGATTTATTTACTTATTCTCTATTTTATGTGTACTTCTGTGTGTGATTGCGTGAGGCTTTTGTGTACCATGTAAGTGCAGGTGCCTGGGAAGGTGAGAAGAGGGTGTCAGGTCTCCCAGAGCTGGAGTTACAGGTAGTTGTGAGCCGCCATGTGGGTGCTGGGAACTGAACCCTGGATTCTCCCTGACACCTAGCTATGCTTGAAAATTTAATTTTAATATGAATCTTGTAAAACAGAAGGAAATGAAAAAAGAATACAAGTGACACCAGAAATGTTCTACGTACAGACTAAGGCCATGATATAGACGTAATCTTACACACAGCTTAAAAAGGAACTGAAACTCTTATTTCCACGGGGTGAGAAAGAGCTAATTATTTGCTTTGGACAATCAGCAGTAATGGCCCTTTTCTTCTCTTAAAAAAAAAATAGGTAACTGTTTTACTGATTCTTTTCCTTTTCCTGGTTTGTTTGTGGTGCCGAAGACTGAACCCAGGTCTTGGTATGCTATGGGAGCGCTTTACTACTGAACTGTATCCCCAGGAACATTTTTCTTGTATCAGGCTATTTGGTAGTATTCAACACAGCACTGGTGTTGTAAATGACTTGTGTGAATGATTTTATGTGAATAGAAGTTATCCTGCTCACTGATCTTGATGGTAGAATTCTGAAGGTCAGTTTAGCTCTAATCATCGATGACTCAGCACCAGGAGAAGCACAGTGACCAGCTACAGACCTAAAGTAACCAAGCATTGCGGGGTTCTTTCGGAGCTAATAATTTGAATTAAGTCAAATAATTTCACTTTCCTGAAAGCAGGAAGTAAGTTGGCTCTTGGAAATTCTGATGATCATGACAATAATATATCACGTGCCATCTTATAGTTCATATGTATTTTAAAATTTTTATTTGTTTTCTCTGTCAAGCTTTGTACTCTAGACTACTTGCCCTCTGAGATTCTGGGAATTCTATGACTCACGCCTCTTTCTGGGGTGCTGAGATTACAAATACATACCATTGCAGGTGGGCTCTGGGTATTGAACTGAGGTCCTCTGGCTTGTGTGGCTAGTGTTTTTATGGACAGAGCCTAGAATGTGCTTTTACAAAGTCGAGTGTGTGCATGCTCAAGGACATGCATGCACACAGATATATTCATGCTACAGCATGAATACAGAGGTCAGAGGCCAACTTTGGGTGTCGTTCCTCACTTTCCATCTTCTTTGAGATAGGGTCTCTTTTTGGCTGTTGCCATTCTCTGTCCATCTCTCGTCTTGCTAAAGTCGTGCTAGGACTACAGAGGCGCATCTCTAGTCCAGCTGTGTGTGGGTTCTGAGACCCACCAGCTCTTCATGCCGTGCAGTGCACACCTACTGAGCCACCTCCCCAGCCCCGTTACTATGCGCTTTAACTATCACATTTCATTTTATTTTTACAGTAACTCTTCAAGGTAGATAAATGCATCTCTATATACAGAACCAAATGAGAAAGAAGCTATAACTTACACCAGGCTACACGCGCTAAAAGAGAGTGCCGAGGGGTTGGAGATTTAGCTCAGTGGTAGAGTGCTTGCCTAGCAAGTGCCAGGCCCTTGGTTCAGTCCTCAGCTCTGGGAAAAAAAAAAAAGAGAGAGAGAGAGTGCTGAGATACATTAAGTGAGAAGGTCAAACAGAAGGTTGTTTGCTGGTGTCTTGTTTTATTGGAAGTTCGTGTGTTTTTTCCCCCTATTTTGGGGTGAGTTAATTTGTTAGTTTATCTTGTTTGTGGCCTGATTGTACTAAAAACAGTTATAACAAGGTTAGAGACAGGTGTGGTTCAATCAGTGCATAGCATTCGATTGTTCTTCAGATAGAAGGTGTTTTAGAGCTGACTGCCTGATAGGGTCTGAAACGAAGTTCAGCAGGCTTAAAGAGCACAGAGAACATTCTTTTGTTTTTGCGGTGGTGGCACACACCTTTAATCCCAGCACTTGGGAGGCAGAGGCAGGCGGATCTTTGTGAGTTCGAGGCCAGCCTGGTCTACAGAGCAAGCTCCAGGAAGGCGCAAAGCTACACAGAGAAACCCTGTCTCGAAAAACCAAAAAAAAAAAAAAAAATTTTTTTTGGAGACAAGGTCTTATTATGTAAGGTGTTCTTTTAAGGTCCCTTACTGGGGAGTTGGGAGAGGGAGGTATTGTGCCGCCAGGAAGTGGGTCCAAAGTTGACATTGCCAAACCAGGCCACGAGGCGCTGTTCTGTGTGGCTTGGGTAGGCAGGAGTTTGCAAAGTCCAACAACGTTTCTAGACAGGAAGCCCAGGCAACAGCCTAGTTAACACAGGGCTTCTGAGGTGTGCCTGTGGTCAGCCTGCCTCTGGGCCTGTGTGTGGGATGCTGAATGTATTCTTACGGTGCCTGCAGCCTTCTCTGCTGAAGGCTTTGTTTTCTAGAAGACTTGTTTCCAAGAGGGACAGACTTCCCATCTATGTGTTGTGACAGTAACTGTTACAAAGGAAATGCAAAAGGTAGGGGAAAAACTCAATTAAAAATCTGGGAAATATTCCCTTTTCCTTAAGGAGAGAGACTAGATTAGTGTATGCACCACTAGCAACTAATACCCTTCCTTCTGGCTCCTGGTCCTCCTCTGTACACTTCCGGGATGATAGCATTTATTAGGTATTGTAGTTCCATTTACTGTGTTCCTATTATGCTGGACAGCAAGTACTAAGATGTAGTGTTGAACTAACTTTCTGTTGAGCATAAAACATTTTGAAGTTTGAGAACAATTATGAACATTTGACTTTTTCTGATTTATTATTTTTTTTTGTGTTAATAAAACTAGATATTTTGCCAGAACAAATCCATTATCAGCTGTGTGACACCGATTTCCAAGACCCACCCTATTGTCGGTATTCCACTGCTCAGTTCCCTCCAGCTTTACAGTCCCCATCTTTACAAAGCCATTTCCACACCTATGGCTTGGATCCACAGTATGGTGGTGGCGGATGGTGTGGACTTGATGCTCGGGAATCCAGTCAGTCCACTTACATGGTTGTTCAGGATGATGAAGATGGATTCCCTGGGATGCAAAGGTCCCCACCAACTTGTTCTTTACGCTGGAAGGGACAAGATGAGCTCTGCGTGGTCTGTGGTGATAAGGCGTCAGGATATCACTACAATGCACTTACCTGTGAAGGCTGCAAAGGTAAGGGCTAAGTCGTAACAAAAGGGACAGCATACACACACACACACACACACACACACACACACACACACACACACCTTATAAAACTCGAGGAACACATCACTTCTCCGCCCTTAGGCTCAGATCAAGTGTAAAATGTGAGAAACAAAACCAGGGAGGTGCTGTGGGGTGGTCTGTATGTCAAATCTGTTGCTCTAATTGGTCAATAAATAAAACACTGATTGGCAGCGGCTGGCAGTGACTCCTTCTGCCTTCCTGTTCCTTCTTTGCTCCTCTCTGTTAGTCCAGCCTATAATTCCTGCCTAGCCACTGACCATTTTTTTTTTTCAAAAAGGAAGGTTTTAACTTTTACACATCTCCAAAGCCAGCTTGGTATATTTGGGAATTTGGGCATAGCTTCTCTTACTACTTCCTGCTGGAGGGGGGCACTGTATCCTATGGGGCATGGAGGCTGTATCATCTGAGCCAGTTGCCTTGAAACGATTCTGGATATTGGATCATCTGGGCCATGGTGTCATCAGAGACCTTTCAAGTGGTCTTGGCTGGTCAAACCTGATGTATCTTAATCTGGAACAAATCCATAGCCTCTAGCTTTCTGTAGAAACAAAAGCAGAGCCTCTTTTCCAAAGCAACATATCCTTA